CTATGTACCCCATGAATATATACAATTATTGCTTGTCAATATAAAAAAATCAAAATTTAAAACAAAACAAATAAAAAATAGCTAGAAGAGAAGATTTCAAATGTTCCCAACACAAAGAAATGATGAATGTTTGAGGTGATGGATATGCTAATTACCCAGATTTGGTTATTACATTGTATGTATTATATGTATCAAAGTATCACATGTACCCCATAAATATGTACAATTATTATGTATCAATTTTTTTAAAAACTAGATGGGAATGTACCAGCTCTTCAGCCGAGAGCTAGAAGTTCCTAAACTGACAGTGGGCTCATTGAGAGCTGAGCAAAGGAAATAAGAAACTACAAATAGGAAGGAAATGCTGCCCACCTGGGAGCAAAGAAAAGAAACTGCAATATTAAGTGAGTTCACTTGGAAAATGATAATTTTTAATGTAATGTATTAATTAATTAATTTTTTGAGACAGGGTTTCACTCTTGTTGCCCAGGCTGGGGTGCAATGGCGCAACCTTGGCTCACTGCAACCTCTGCCTCCCAGGTTCAAGCAATTCTCCTGCCTCAGGCTCCCAAGTAGCTGGGATTACAGGTGCCCACCACCATACCCAGCTAATTTTTAAAAAATATATTTTTGGTAGAGATGGGGTTTCACCATGTTGGCCACGCTGGTCTGGAACTCTTGACTTCAAGTGACCCACTTGCCTCAGCCTCCCAAAGTGCTAGGATTATAGGCATGAGCCACTATGCCCGGCAGAAAATAATTTTTTTTAAGTGGAAAATTTTATAAGAATTCTACAAATGTCGGCCGGGCGCGGTGGCTCATGCCGCCTGTAATCCCAGCACTTTGGGAGGCCGAGGTGGCTGGATCACAAGGTCAGGAGTTCGAGATCAGCCTGGTCAATATTGTGAAACCCTGTCTCTACAAAAAAAAAAATCAAAAACTTAGCCAGGCATGGTGGTGCATACCTGTTGTCCTAGATACATGGGAGGCTGAAGCAGGAGAAGCACTTGAACCTGGGAGGCAGAGGTTGCAGTGAACCTAGACCGCCCCACTGCACTCCAGCTTGGGCAACAGAGCGAGACTCCTTCTCAAAAAAAAAAAAAAAAGAAATCCACAAATGTCATTTTGGGAGTCTGAGGTAGGAAGATTGCTTCAGGCCAGGAGTTCAAGACCAGCCTGATTAATAAAGAGAGACTGTCACTACACAAAAATAAAAAACTTAGCCAGGCATGGTGGCACACACCTGTGGTCCTAGCTACATGGGAAGCTGAAGCAGGAGGATCACTTGAACGCAGGAGGTCAAGGCTGCAGTGAGCCATGTTTACACCACGACACTCCAACCTAGTCAACAGAGTGAGACCCTGTCTCAAAAAAAAAAAAAAAAAAAAAGGTCCTAGCGTGGTGGTATGGGCCTATAGCAAGGGGATTACTTGAGCCCAGGAGTTCAAGGCTGCAGTGAGCTATGATCATAGCACTGCACTCCAGCCTGGGTGACAGAGTGAGACCCTGTCTCCTAAAAAAAAAAAAAAAAAAGTAAAAAAGTTCTAGAAATGTAAGATCTTTGTACTACATGAAATACTTGTGCCACAACTAACCTGGTGTCCAGATACCAAATGAGTCTTCTGAGAGCCAAAGGCAGGCACTGGGGGGTCATAGGTGGGCATGTGGGAAATAGAAAAGGATGGGCACTGTGTGGAGGAGGCCAGAATTACATTGTATTTCTTCTAAAAAATATTTTGGCTGGGCGCGGTGGCTCACGCCTGTAATCCCAGCACTTTGGGAGGCCGAGACGGGCAGATCATGAGGTCAGGAGATCGAGACCATCCTGGCGAACATGGTGAAACCCCGTCTCTACTAAAAATACAAAAATATTAGCCAGGCGTGGTGGTGGGCGCCTGTAGTCCCAGCTTCTTGGGAGGCTGAGGCAGGAGAATGGCATGAACCCGGGAGGCAGCGGAGCTTGCAGTGAGCTGAGATCGTGCCACTGTACTCCAGCCTGGGCGATAGAATGAGACTCCGTCTAAAAATATATATATATTTCATAATTTAAAAAATTATGCAAATACTACCCAATCATTTTAGAAAACCCAGAAAATACAAACAGAGCAATAAAAAGACTTTTTAAAAAAAATATCTGGCTGGGCGTGGTGGCTCACGCCTGTAATCCCAACACTTTGGGAGGCCAAGGTAGGTGGATCACCTGAGGTCAGGAGTTCGAGACCAGCCTGGCCAACATGGTGAAACCCTGTCTCTACTAAAAATACAAAATTTAGCCGGCTGTGGTGGCACGTGCCTATAGTCCCAGCTACTTGGGGGGCTGAGGCACGACAATCGCTTGAACCTGGGAGGCGGAGGTTGCAGTGAGCTGAGATCACACCACTGCACTCCTGCACTCCAACCTGGACAACAAGAGTGAAACTCCATCTAAAAAATATATATATATATATATCTCGCCTTTAATTCTGCCCAGAGGCAAACACAGGAAACATTTTGGTACATATACTTTGTTTGTTTTACAAATGTGAAAGGTCCAGGTATCTATACTTCCTTGAGTTTTTCTCTGTGTTGTGTGTTTCCAAAAGTGTGATTATGTTATTTATGCTGCTTTGTAACCTTTTTACTTCCTAGTGCCTGATGAACACTTTTCTTTCCTTATGGATACACAGTATCAAAGGATGGTTTTCAAGTTAAAATTCTGACCTTTGTATACACATAGGGTGAGCATGTACATGTTCTTTAATGAAGGAACTGGGAGGATGGTAAAACAGGTTCAACAGAGAAACAGAAATTTATATAGTCAGTGTGGAAAAATGTATTTAAATGGGATTTCTAGGTTAGATAAGAAACTCATCTACAAGGCAATGAAATGCTATCCTTTGGGGTTATCTTTTCTGCTGGACAGAAATAATTTGGATCTCAACTAGACACAATCAAAATCATTTGCAATTTATTCATATATAAATTCACATCTAATTTCATAGAGTCTAGGCCCCTAAGTAAATGGTCAGTCAAACAAAAAAATATATTTCTCTAGAGCAATGATTCTCAACTAAAGGTGATTTTGTCTCCCAGAGGACATTTGGCAATGGCCAAAGACATGTTCGGTTGTCACCATTGGGGAGTGGTAGTGGCATCTGGTGGGTAGAGGCCAGGGGTGCTGTTAAACCTTGTACAATGCATAGGACAGCCTCCACAACAAAGAATTATCCAGCCCAGACTGGCAACCTCCACAACAGAGAATTATCCAGCCCACACTGTCAGTGGTACCTACCTCTACCTATTAGATGCTAGTAGCACCCCCATGGTTGTGACAACCAAAATGTCTCCAGACACTGCCAAATGTTCCACAGGGAGGCAAAATTGCCCCCAGGTCAGATGCACTGCTTTAGAGTTGCACTTTACAAATCCATCACCTCTAGTCATGTGTAGCTATTTATTTTTATTTTTTATTTTATTTTTATTTATTTACTTTTTTATATCATAATGTTAATGAACACCAGGGGTTCAATCTAGGTCCTGTTGCTTGATGCACAGAAAGCCAATCACTGAGACAACAAGTATTACAGGGAAGAAAGCTTTCTTTAGGTGACATCAGTGGGAGAGACAGGAAATAAACCTCAAATCCATTCCTCCTCCCTGACTAAAGTTAGGTGTTTACACATCATGGGAGGATAACAGGAGCAGCAAGGAAGAGGAGTTGGTCAACAGGCAGCAGGGGCATCCCACAGAAGAAATGTACATTTCTCAAGCTTCAGTTCTGTGGACATCTGGCTTGTTGGAAAATTGGGCAGGCAACAACAAAATGTTTACAATCAGGCCAAATTGAAAATTTAGTTTACTTCAAGTGTTCAGTAGCCAATTGTGGGCCAAGTGCAGTGGCTCATTCCTGTAATCCCAGCACTTTGGTAGGTCAAGTGAGGAGGATTGCATGAGGGCAAAAGTTTAAGACCAGCTTGGGCAACAGGGCGAGAGACCCCATCGCTACAAAAAAAAGAAAATAAAAAAATAAAAAACAACAACAAAATAGCCATGTTTGGCTAGCAGCTACTCTAGTGGGCAGGACAGGCAGAGAACATTTTCCTCTTTGTGGAAAATTCTGCTTGATGGTACTGCCTTAGATAAATAATCATTTCACGGGTCTGTTAGACATTGGGACAATGTAATATTGAAAAAATATGCAGGCCAGGCGCAGTGGCTCAGGCCTTTAATCCCAGGACTTTGGGAGGCTGAGGCATGCAGATCAGTTGAACTCAGGAGTTTGAGACCAGTCTAGGCAACATGGTGAAACCCCGTCTCTACAAAAAAAAAAAAAAAATACAAAAATCACCGGGCACAGTGGTGGGCACCTGTAGTCCCAGCTACTCAGGAGGCTGAGGTGGGAGGATGGCTAGAGCCCAGGAGGTGAAGGATGAAGGTTGCAGTGAGCCGAGACCACACCACTGCACTCCAGCCTGTGCACGAGAGCAAGACCCTGTCTCAAAAAAGACTTTAAAAATATATATAAAGAAAAGAAAAAGAAAAAATGTGTGGCTATCCTTTTTCCTTATTTCCAAGTTTTGGATAATTTTTCTTTTTTTTTTCACCAGCACTTTTATTTTTCCTTACACACTCACGTGTTGTTGGGGCCTAATGCTCTCACATAACTGTAAGAAACCAAAATTTTTTGTCATCTCTTGAAGAACTGAGAATTGTATACACACACACACAAACCTTATGTAAATTAAAAGGATGAATACATTTACAGGTATAAATGCAAACCATTTCTTTTTTTTTTTTTTTTTTTTTTGAGACGGAGTCTCGCTGTGTCACCCAGGCTGGAGTGCAGTGGCGCGATCTCGGCTCACTGCAAGCTCCGCCTCCCGGGTTTACGCCATTCTCCTGCCTCAGCCTCCGAGTAGCTGGGACTACAGGCGCCCGCCACCACGCCCGGCTAGTTTTTTGTATTTTTAGTAGAGACGGGGTTTCACCATGTTAGCCAGGATGGTCTCGATCTCCTGACTTCATGATCCACCCGCCTCGGCCTCCCAAAGTACTGGGATTACAGGCTTGAGCCACCGCGCCCGGCCTAATGCAAACCATTTCTAACTCAAGGCAAGTAACAGCCATGGTGTTCTGGGAGGAAAACATCAGCTAAGAAAGGAAACTGGGTCCTATGGCTTAGACTTTCCAATCCTGACAGACCAGCAGGACAGACACAAGTGGTTCAGGAGCCCTTGCCAGCCTCTAGAGAAACCCCAGAACACTCAACCCTAACACATTAACACCCTGCACTGGTGGGAGACTGCTGGCCACGCAGACCCACCGAGCCATGGACTTGTCTTCCACAAGCACGTTCTTACCTCAGCCACAAAGTGACCAAGCCACATATACTAAGGGCTGAGATCCAAGATATGTACAGGGTACTTAACAGATAGCAAGGGAACAGTTAACTTGCATACAAGGTAAAAATCAGCAACAAGTTCTACAATCCAGTGCTGATATTGGATACAAACTTCAAGGACAGATTTCTTTTCGAAGGCTTATTCCAGTTTCATGAGGCTAGCATGGGGTGTATGCATTTGCCAGGAGCAAATTTATTCTTCTGAATTAACCCATGCAGCAAATGCTAGGCATCTGCTCGCAGTCCATTTAGAAGCATTTGCGCTGGATGATGGAGGGGCCCGACTCCTCATACTCCTGCTTGCTAATCCACATCTGCTGGAAGGCAGACAGGGAGGCCAGGATGGAGCCACCGATCCACACCGTGTACTTGCGCTCAGGGTACTCGATGATGTGATCTTCATGGTGCTGGGCGCCAGGCTGGTGATCTCCTGCATCCTGCCTGCAATGTACAGGTACATGGTGGTGCCGCAGGACAGCACCATCTCGGCCTACAGGTATTTGTGGATGTCCACGTCACACTTTATGATGGAACTGAAGGTGGTCTCATGGATGCCGCGGCTTCCATGTCCAGGAAAGAAAGCTGGAACACTGCCTCTGGACACCAGACCCACTCATTGCAGATGGTGACGACCTGGCCGTCAGGTGGCTCATAGCTCTTCTCCAGGAACGAGGAGAACACGGCGGTGGCCAGCTCCTGCTTGAAGTCCAGGGTAACGTAGCACAGCTTCTCCTTGATGTCACGCACTATCTCCCACTCGGCCATGGGGGTGAAGCTGTAGCCACACTTGGTGAGGATCTTCATGAGGTAGTTGGTTAGGGGAGATGGGCATCATGTGGGCGACCCCATCTTCAGAGTCCGTGACAATGCCACTGGTGTGCCCAGAGGACTAGAGGGACAGCACAGCGTGGATGGCCACACACATGGCCAGGGTGTTGAAGGTCTCAAGCATGATGCAAGTCGTCTTCTCTCTGCTGGTCTTGGGGTTCGGGGGGCCTTAGTCAGCAGCACTGAGTGGTCCTTGGGGCCACACGCAGCTCGTTGTAGAAGGTGTGGGGCCAGATCTTCTCCATGTCATCCCGGTTGGTGACTATGCCCTGCTCGATGGGATACTTCAGGGTCAGGATGCTGCACTTGCTCTGGGCCTCGTCACCCACATAGGAGTCCTTCTGGCCCATCCATGTCCACCATCATGATCTGGTGCCTGGGGCACCCGACAATGGAGGGGAACATGGTTCGGGGGGCATCATCCCTAGCAAAGCCAGCTTTGCACCTGCCAGACCCATTGTCAATGATAAGCATGATGATCTCTTCTTCCATCGCCATCGTGGAGAAGCGGGTGGCTGAGCAGCAGGAGGACGCGGTGTGCGGGTTAGTGGTGGCCAGTGAGCAATAATTTCTTCTACAGGACCTTTGTTAAAGGCAGCATAAAGCCGCAAGGCTAGATAGACTGTAAACGCCACGACGTCATGGACTGGGACTTAGTTCTCTCATTATCGCTAGCACCTGCTGCAGGGACTGATACCTGGCAAGCACTCAATAACCAATATCTACTAAGTGAATGAATAAATGAATGAATAGTGTGAAATTAAGTGGGTAGCAGGTCCTTTTGCAGTGACTTCCTTGGGTTGGCTGTCAGCAGTTATGCAATTGTCACACCTATCTCAGCAAGTTCTGAGGACTAAGTGGGGGACGACCAGCAACAGTGCCTATCCCAGGTTCTGACACCCACTCAGGAGGCACCCAACAGGCGATTTTTCCTTCCTTTCCTGAAATCATCAAAATGGTTCCCAGCCCTCTAATATTTCAAAAACCCTTACCAAGTCTATGTAAATAAAAAAAACTTCCCTTGTACATACAGCCCGTTAGTGGCAGAACTGCAACTATAGACCCAGTGTCTAATCACCTTGCAGATGACTTTGCCAGCAGTGACATTCCTTGTTGGTGACTACTGAGTCACTCTATGTAGGGTCAGCTGAGAAGAGGACAGTAACCGTAAAGAGGGAGTAGACATTCCAGGGACATTAATTCAGCGAAGTGCCAGGCACTGCTAATTCAGAGGCTAGTGTGGGCAGCTCATGTGTATATATATATTTTTTTGTTTTTGAAACAGGGTCTTACTCCATCACCCAGGCTGGAGCGCAGCGGTGCAATCACAGCTCTCTGCAGCCTTAAACTCCTGGATTCAAGTGATCCTCCCACTTCAGCCTCTGGAGTAGCTGGGACCACAGGCTTGTGCCACAATGCCTGGATAATTTTTTGTATTTTTTGTAGAGACAGGATTTGCCACAACGTCCAGGCTGGTCTTGAACTACTGGCCTCAAGCAATCTGCCCACCTTGGCTTCCCAAAGTGCTGGGACTACAGGCGTGAGTCACCGTGCCTGGCCTCACATGTCATCTTTGATGACAACTCATGGACAATTACTTTTTTTTTTTTTTTTTAGGGACAGGGTCTCGCTCTGTCACCCAGGCTGGAGTGCAGTGGTATGACTGTAGCTTGCTACAGCCTCCAACTTCTGGGCTCAAGCGATCCTCCTGCCTCAGCCTGATGAGTAGCTGGGACTACAGGCGTGCACCACCACACCTGGCTTCATGAAAACTTCTGAGAGAGGTATAGGGCACATAAAGCGCATGGCTGGCCCAGGGTGCAGCATCTGCTGGGGCAGCAGGAAATGGAGGACAATAGGCCAGGCCCCAGGGGTTGGCCATCTTTTGGGTTTGTATTTCTCATTCTTCCCACAATGAGTCCCTAAAGCTCACAGGAACTGTAAGTGGATCAGAGATTGTGTACTAGGAGAATGGCGATGATTAACACCAGCGTGAGCTATGGAAGCTTGCCCAGCTCTACAGTCCTCCAGGCCCAAGGAAAGCAAAGTCCCACGGAGTTTCTGGGAAGACTAAGGAGGCTCCCAGGGCTGGAAATGTGGTGTTGGAGGCACATGGCAGAGGGCTGTGGCCACATCTTGTATGTTATGTAAAGGGCTGAACCTGACTGTATAGGACAATGGGACTGTCTAAATGTTCTAGAAAATATTGATCTGAGTGTGTTGTAGGAAGATTACATTATAAAAATTCGAAGGGGGAGAAACAGGAGTCTGGTAGAGCAGCTCTTTTTTTTTTTTTTCCAGACAGGGTATCACTTTATGGCCCAGGCTGGAGTGTAGTGGTGCAATCATAGTTCACTGCAGTCTCGAACTCCTGGGCTCAAGTGATCTTCCCACCTTAGTCTCCTAAATAGCTGGGACTACAGGCAAACACCACTGTGCTTGGCTAATTTCTAAACTTTTTGTAGAGATATGGTCTCTTGATGTTGTCCAGGCTGGTCTCAAACTCCTGCGGTCAGGTGATTCTCCCACCTTGGCCTCCCAAAGTTCTGGGAATACAGGTGAGCCACTGCACCCAGCCTAATTCCTTTTTTTTTTTTTTTTTACTTTGTCAGACCAATAATTGATGACAAGCTTATTTCCAACTTGTCTCAAGGGAAGAGGCTTCTAAGCAGTCTAATTCAAAAACTCCCTCTTGACAAAGATAATTTGCAGGAAAAAGGGATGGTTAGCTAATCATTACTTCGCTGCATTTTAAAAAATGACTGGTGAAGGAAGATTAGACTGGTTAAAGATCACTGGGCTCCTTCCAAGACTGACAATCGACTGAGGGCGGCTCCCAGAAGAGCTCTTAAGCTTATTAAATAAAGCTAATTATTCATTTTAGCAGCAATGGTAATTTATCACTGGAAAGAGTAACTAACGATAACAGACCACAAAGTTCTGCTCTAGCTATGGTATTTATATTTATTTATGTTTTTTAAAGACTTTATTTTTATTTTTTGAGACAGGGTCTCACTCTATCACCTAGGCTAGAGTGCAGTGGTGTGATCTCGGTTCACTGAAGCCTTCACCTCTCACACTCAAGTGATCCTCCCACCTCAGCCTCCCAAGTAGCTGGGACTACAGGCACACACCACCACACTCAGCTAATTTTTTAATTTTTTGTAGAGATGGGGTCGCATTATGTTGCCCATGCTGGTCTTGAAATCCTGGGCTCAAGCGATCCAGCAGCCACGGCCTCCCAAAGTGCTGGGATTACAGGTTACAGCCACTGAACCTGGCCAAAGACTTTATTTTTTAGAATAGTTTCAGGTTCATGGCAAAATTGAGAGGGAAGTACAGAGATTTCCCACATACTCCCAGCCCTAACATATGCACAGCCTCCCCCATGATAACATCTTACACCGTGATGCATTTGTTACAACCATGAACCTACATTGACACGTCATTATCACCCCAAATCTGTAGTTTACATTAGGGTTTGCTCTGGGTGTTATACATTCTAGACGTCTGGAAAAATGTACAATGACATGTATCCACCGTTATATCATATAGAGTATTTTCACTGCCCTAAAATTCCTCTGTGCTCATCTAGTTAAGGTTTTTGTTTTGTTTTGTTTTGTTTTTGAGACAGAGTCTCGTTCTGTCGCCCAGGCTGGAGTGCAGTGGCACGATCTCAGCTCACTGCAACCTCCACCTCCAAGGTTCAAGTGGTTCTCCTGCCTCAGCCTCCCAAGTAGCTGGGACTACAGGCATGTACCACCACGCTTGGCTAATGTTTGTATTTTTTGTAGAGACGGGGTTTCACCATGTTGGCCAGGCTGGTCTGGAACTCCTGACCTCAGGTGATCTGCCCGCCTCAGCCTCCCAAAGTGCTGGGATTACAGGCATGAGCCACCGCGCCTAGCCTGGGTTTTGAACCACTTTTTTGTTGTTTATCGCCACAGTGAGAGAAACAGGAGGAATCTGTTTCTATCTTATCTAAATTCTTATCATCTTATTCCATCTAAATTGCATGCCCTACTCTTTCCTATGTGGTCTCTCCATTCATTCAAGAAATTGCATGACTATCTTGTGCCAGGCTCTAGGCTAGTGTTGGGGATACCGTGATGTGTGAAAATGGGCACTGTCTTGTCTTTATAGGTGTGTAGTGTTCAGTTGGGGAGAAAGGCAATTGTATAACTGTTCATAAAGAAACTGAAAATTGGCCGGGCGCGGTGGCTCAAGCCTGTAATCCCAGCACTTTGGGAGGCCAAGGCGGGTGGATCACGAGGTCAGGAGATCAAGACTATCCTGGCTAACATGGTGAAACCCCGTCTCTACTAAAAATACAAAAAACTAGCCGGGCGTGGTGGCGGGCGCCTGTAGTCTCAGCTACTTGGGAGGCTGAGGCGGGAGAATGGCGTGAACCCGGGAGGCGGAGCTTGCAGTGAGCCGAGATCACGCCACTGCACTCCAGCCTGGGAGACACAGCGAGACTCCGTCTCAAAAAAAAAAAAAAAAAAAAGAAAAAAAAAAAAGAAACTGAAAATTACAACTGTAATTTTGATATGTGCTTTGAAGCAAAGAAACGAGGTACATGCAGGTCTCAAGGGAGACCTGTCTCTCACTATGAAGTCCCTGTCCCTGCCTATGGAGACTGTGTTCACTAGTTCATAGGGTAGGGGCTGGGGTTTGTGCAAAGCCCTGAGGCCCCATAGATGTTGGCTAAAAGAGCAAAATGAAGAGGTGACGCTGGGGGCTGGGGTGAAACCCTGCAATCCTGCAACCCTGGTAAGATTTTGATCTTTATCCAAAGAGAAAGGGAAGCCACTGAAAAGTTGTTGTTTTTTTTTTTTTTTTTTTTTGAGACAGAGGCTTGCTTTGTCACCCAGGCTGGAGACCAGTGGTGCGATGTGGGCTCACTGCAACCTCCGCCTCCCAGGTTGAAGTGATTCTCCTGCCTCAGCCTCCTGAGTAGCTGGGATTACAGGCCGGCGCCACCACACCCAGCTAAGTTTTGTATTTTTAGTAGAGACGGGGTTTCACCACTTTGGCCAGGCCAGTCTTGAACTCATGACCTCAGTGATCCACCCACCTGGGCCTCCCAAAACGCTGGGATTACAGGGGTGAGCCATCATGCCCAGCAGCCACTGAAAAGTTTTAAGTGAGGAAGTGAATACAATATAAGGAGAAAGGTGGAGGGATATTTTGAGATCACGCTAGCTGCTCAATGGATGGGGGACAGGCAGGGTGGAAATGGAGAGACCAGAAAGCCACGTGCTCAAGATAAAAGAAAGTAGCCTAGGCTGGGCATGGTGGATCACGCCTGTAATCCCAGCACTTTGGGAGGCTGAGACAGGTGGATCACCTGAGGTTAGGAGTTTGAAACCAGTCTGGCCAACATGGTGAAACCCCATCTCTACTAAAAATACAAAATTTAGCTGGGTGTGGTGGCACGCACCTGTAATCCCAGCTACTCAGGAGGCTGAGGCAGGAAAACCACTTGAACCCAAGAGGCGGAGGTTTCAGTGAGCCAAGATCATGCCATTGCACTCCAGCCTGAGCAATAAGAAAGAGACTCCATCTCAAAAAATAAAGACGGTTGCCTGGACTAGGTAGGTGGCAGGCAGATCGATGGCCCGATAAAAAACCCACCAACATGTATTTAGTGGCTCCAAGGTTGATTTTTTATTTTTTTTATTTTATTTTTTTTTTTTGAGACGGAGTCTTGCTCTGTCACCCAAGCTGGAGTGCAGTGGTGCGATCTCGGCTCACTGCAACCTTTGCCTCCCAGGTTCAAGAGATTCTCCTGCCGGGCGCGGTGGCTCAAGCCTGTAATCCCAGCACTTTGGGAGGCCGAGACGGGCAGATCATGAGGTCAGGAGACAGAGACCATCCTGGCTAACATGGTGAAACCCTGTCTCTACTAAAAAAATACAAAAAACTAGCCGGGCGAGGTGGCGGGTGCCTGTAGTCCCAGCTACTCCGGAGGCTGAGGCAGGACAATAGCGTAAACCCGGGAGGCAGGGCTTGCAGTGAGCTGAGATCCAGCCACTGCACTCCAGCCTGGGCGACAGAGCGAGACTCCGTCTCAAAAAAAAAAAAAAAAAAAAGAGATTCTCCTGCCTCAGCCTCCAAGTAGCTGAGACTACAGGCACACGCCACCACGCCTGGCTAATTTTTGTATTTTTAGTAGAGACGGGGTTTCATCATATTGGTCAGGCTGGTCTTGAACTCCTGACCTCAGGTGATCCACTCACCTTGGCCTCCCAAAGTAGTGGGTTTAACAGGTGTGAGCCACAGTGCCCAGCCCAAGACTGATCTTTGATAGGCCCAAATGCAACACGAGCTACACTTCTGTTACTCTCTAAAATTTGCCATAGTAATTAATGTTATTTCCTTTACTGGACAGTCAACTCTTTGACGGTAGGGTTGCCATGGAATGGAACTTTTCTCCAGTAGAATGTTGACCTGAGCCCGGGCGCGGTGGCTCATACCTGTAATACTAGCACTTTGGGAGGCTGAGGCGGGCAGATCATTTGAGATCAAGAGTTCGAGACCAGTCTGACCAACATGGTAAAACCCCGTCTCTACTGAAAAAAAAAAAAAAATAGCTGGGCATGGTGGCACATGCCTGTAATCTCAGCTACTTAGGAGGCTAAGGCAGGAGGATTGCTTGAACTCAGAGGCAGAGGTTACAATAAGCCCAGATGGCACCATTGCACTCCAGCCTGGACAACAGAGTGAGACTGTGTCTTTTTTTTTTTTTTTTTTTTGAGACGGAGTCTTGCTCTGTCACCCAGGCTGGAGTGCAGTGGCCGGATCTCAGCTCACTGCAAGCTCCGCCTCCCGGGTTCACGCCATTCTCCTGCCTCAGCCTCCCGAGTAGCTGGGGCTACAGGCGCCGCCACCTTGCCCGGATAGTTTTTTTGTATTTTTTAGTAGAGACGGGGTTTCACCATGTTAGCCAGGATGGTCTCGATCTCCTGACCTCGTGATCCGCCCGTCTCGGCCTCCCAAAGAGACTCTGTTTCAAAAACAAAAAGAAAAAAAAAAGAAAGTTGACCCAAAGCTATGCATATATTGAGTACTCACTCGTTACATGTCTAATTGTAAAGACCACCTAAGATTCTCCTGTACTTTTCCCTCTGCTTAGTATTTACCACAATTTACCACAAAGTTATTAATATGATTATATATTCAACAGATCTCTCCCTGGACTGTAAACTCCATAAGGACGGGGAGAGAGGACAGGAACCAAATTGTCTTGATTATTGTTTTATTCCAATGCCCAGCACTGTACCTAGTACTCAACAAATATTTGCAAAAGAATCTTTGTTAAATACAAGTTTCCAAACATTTCCATAGTGCTTATTATCTGCCAGTCTCTGTTCTTAGCACCTTAAACATATGAACACATTTAGTTTTCGTAACAACTCCATGAGGTATATACTATCAATGTCCCCACTTCACTGATGAGGAAACTAAGGCAGGGAGATTAGGTTCTTAAGCGATTCTGTTTTATCAAATATAGACACACATTTGTTCCAAAACATTAACTGGTCTCTGTCTATGACAGGAGCTATGGGAGGTGCTGGGGACACAAAATAAAATCGTGGTTAATACTTTTTGAGTACCTACTATATGTCAGGCTTGGTGTTAGGCACTTTATAGAACTTTATGAACTTTACAGAACTTACAATATCCTTAATCACATTTGATTATTTGTACTCAGTGTTACTTACTGATTGCTTGCTTGATTGATTGATTGAGACAGGGTCTCGCTCTGTCGCCCAGGATGGAGTGCAGTAGCAGGATCACGGCTCACTGTAGCCTCAAACTCCTGGGGTCAAGTGATCTTCCCGCTTTAACCTCCTGAGTAGCTGGGACTACGCACACACGCCACTGTGCCCAGCTAATTTTTAATTTTTTGCGGGGGAAGGGTCGGGGGGGTGGAGTGTTTTCCTATGTTGCCCAAGATGGTCTCGAACTTCTGGCCTCAAGTGATCCTCCCGCCTGGGTCGGCGTTACTATTCTAGTCCAGCCTCCTACTTTCCCGGTAAACCCACAAGACTCCGCCCCTTTGCAGAAGCTGGCCCCGCCCATGCCCTCTTCCACGCCTGCGCCCCCCCCCCCGACCCCGACCCAGCAGACGACGCGCCGCGCGCCTGCGCACGGTTTCCCCATGTGTTCTCCAGCAGTCAGCAGGCCCAGCTGAGCAGCAGCCACGGACGTTGCTTGTCACCGGCGCGGCAGCCTCCACCGCCTGCTGTTGCCCTCCTCTCTCGGTGGTCTGTCAGCACAGCGCACGTCGGCATGGGTAAGAGCCGGACGAAGCGCTTCAAGCGACCTCAGTTCTCCCCTACGGGCGACTGTCAGGCCGAGGCGGCTGCGGCGGCGAATGGGACCGGAGGCGAGGAGGACGACGGGCCAGCGGCGGAGCTGCTGGAAAAGGTGAGGCGAGGGCTCCGCCGGGCCGGGAGAGCGAGACGAGGTTGCCCCGCGCGCGTGCGCACTGCTCTCCTTCTGACCCTCCTCGCTCTCCTCCCCAGCTCCAGCACCCGAGCGCCGAGGTCCGCGAGTGCGCCTGCGCGGGGCTGGCCCGGCTGGTGCAGCAGCGGCCGGCACTCCCGGGCCTGGCGCGCCGAGACGCCGTGCGCCGCCTCGGGCCGCTGCTGCTGGACCCTAGCCTGGCCGTCAGGGAGACTGCAGCCGGCGCGCTGAGGTGAGCCGGGAAGGGTCCGGGGCGGTGCCCACTTCTAGCCTCCCCCGCGCCTGGGCTGCGGGCGGTCGCAGCGGTCAGCCAGCGCCTTCTGTGTGCCACCAGGCCCTGGCCCGGTCTCCCGTTTGCAGAGATTTGAAGCCAGTCTCCAGGCTCCAGAGAACCCCAGTATCCCCGAACCACACGCATCTCATCTGTCCACCTGGCTGCTTCACCTGCAGCGTCCACCTGCTCAAGCGTCACGCCTGCGCACGTTTTACCCTCTCCAAAAGCCCTCCTTAGGGTCCCTTGCTTGGATGAACTCTTCAATTCATGTGTCAGGATTCGTTCTAGATGCAGGGAATTTTGAGCAGCCAAGACTGTTGAGCGAGATCTGTTGACAGCCAAGATCCCCTGTCTTGGCACAAGTCATGTTGATGGGGAGACAGACAGGAAGCTAGTGAAAAGGTAAAACATAATATTGCATAGTGAGAATTGCTGTGGGAAAACGAGATGATGATGAGTTGGGGGTGGGAAGTTTGAATTGGGTGCTCTTGGGCCGGGCGCGGTGGCTCACGCCTGTAATCCCATTGCTTTGGGAGGCCAAGGAAGGAGGATCACTGGAGGCCAGGAGTCCAAGGCCAGTCTGGGCAACATAGCAAGACCCCGTCTCTAGAACAATTTTAAACAATTAGTCAGGCATGGTGGTGGGTGCCCTTTATCCCAGCTACTCAGGAGACTGGGGTGGGAGTATCGCTTCAGCCCAGGAGTTCGAGGCTGCAGTGAGGCATGATGACACCACTGCACTCCAGCCTGGGTGATAGAGCAAGACCCTGTGTCAAAAAAAAAAAAAAAAAAAAAGGTGCTCTTTAGATGGCTTGTGAACGGAGATCTGCAGGGTGAGAGAGCCAGGAGACATGGGAAAATAGGGGGAAGAGCATTTCCCACAAAGGGAGCAGCAGCAGCAAAGAAGCGAAGCAGCAGGCGGCTTGATGTGGTTAAAGAGCAGAGCGGGTAGGTAGGTGGCAGAAAAGAGCAGGGGTGGGTAATTACAGGAGGTGAGGCTGGAGAGAGAGATGAGCTGTACGATTGGTGTAGGGCTGAGGACTTAATCTAAGCAGGGAAGAGACATGCTGTAACTCACCTTTTGAGAAGGCCACTCTGCTGGCTGTGCAGAGAATGGACTGCAGAGGGGGCAAGAGTAGAAGTTAGTATTTGTAGTTCTTGTAGCTCTGTCTCTACTTGTTATTTATATTTCATTCACTGATATAGCAAATATGTATAAAGTGCCTGTGTGCTAGACACTGAGCTAGGCTGTGGGCATGGGGTAATGAGCAAGGCAATGTCTCTCCTTAAGAAATCTTAAAGTTATTGAGGGAGATAAGCATTAACCAAACAGTTACATAAGTGTATAATTACAATGAATGATAGTGACAAAGGATGCTACAGGAGGGTACAAACAAAGGGTTCAGGGAAGAAGACTCTGAGTGAGTGGTGCTGGAGGTGAGCTCTGAGGGATGAATGGGCATTCACCAGTTGATGGAGGGAAGATAGACGCTCTTCTTCCTCTAGGGAGGAAACAGCATGTGGAAAGCCCTTCCCTTCCTCCCACAGCATACACAGGCTAGGGGATCCTGGCGGATTGTGAGGGCATCTTCTGACTATCTCTATATCCTTAGGTACTAGCACAGTGCTGTGTACTCGGAAGTCATGTCTTTCCAATTAAATTTACCCAGGGCTGCTTTAGGGGGTATCATTCTCAGTAGCCCCACCTTGCTGCCCTTGCAGTTCACTTTTTCTTTTTTTTTTTTTTTTTTTTGTTTTAGAAGCAGGGTCTCCCTGTGTTGCCCAGGCTGGTCTTGAACTCCTGAGCTCAAGTAATCCTCCCACCTAGGCCTCCCAAAGTGCTGGGATTACAGGTGTGAGCTACAGCACCTAGCCTTGCCCTTGTAGTCTTGATTCCAAGAAAAGGTCCCTTCATACATGATGTGATTTATTCACATGGGAAAAGTCTCCCCACTTCCCTTCTTGTAGCCATGTACCTGTATACTGTCTCAAACCTCAGAACTAAGTTGTTATATGACAGCGTCATCTGTTTATATCTTGTAGAACAAAGATCAGAACAGAACAGGTGGGGCCGGGCACGGTGGCTCAAGCCTGTAATCCCAGCACTTTGGGAGGCCGAGATGGGCGGATCACGAGGTCAGGAGATCGAGACCATCCTGGCTAACATGGTGAAACCTCGTCTCTACTAAGAAATACAAAAAAGAGCCGGGCGAGGTGGCAGCGCCTGTAGTCCCAGCTACTCGGGAGGCTGAGGCCGGAGAATGGCGTGAACCCGGGAGGCGGAGCTTGCAGTGAGCTGAGATCCGGCCACTGCACTCCAGCCTGGGCTACAGAGCGAGACTCCGTCTCAAAAAAAAAAAAAAAAAAAAGAACAGAACAGGTGGAAATCTCTGGATTGGTTCTGCAGCATATGACAGAAACAATAAGCTATTTCCTCTGGGAAACCTTAAATATGGCTAAAAATAGAAATGTGAGAGGGTAGAAGTGTTCTGTGACATGCGATGTGGAAGTAAAACATGTTTGAAATTTCTTGTGTAGAAATCTCAGTGCTTGTGGAGGTTTTGAAGTTTGTGATGACATGGTGACTAAGGATATCATGACCCCTCTGGTTGTGCTGCTAAAAGAGGTATGCAGTTTTTACAATATCTTGATGGTAGCTTTTGGGATGCAAACTTAGAGTTTTGGTATTACTTTGGTGTTAGTGACTTTGTCTTCTATGCAAACATCCTGTGGAAATTTCATTCCTTTTCCTGGAAACACCAATCTACTCTCTTAATTGATACTAATCTCTATTATTTTGTAGCTTTATTTTTATGATAGTTAGAAAAGACCTGCCTAAAACTGTACAGACTCACTCCTTTAGATGTTAAACTTCTTACAATAAAAATAATTAGTATTTAGTCATTGCTTATTTATGTGCCAGGTATTATTTTCATGTTTTGGATATTATATAATTTAATCCTCACAGTATCCTATGAGGCAGGTATTATTCCCATTTTACAGATGACAAAGCCGAGACACAGACATTAGGAACTTGTGAAGATTACAGTAAGTTCTCATGTTTGATCTCATTCCAGTCTTATTGCATGACATAGTTAAGAGGTTAAGGAGCTTTCTCTCTGGAGTGCTTCTGGTCCGCTATTCTGTATTGATAGGTAATTTTCAGTTAAGGCTACATAAAGGATATCCAGTTTTGATGAGAGGCATCAGTCGTTTTAGAGTAATGATTCTCAACTGGGTATGATCTTGCTTCACAGGGCACAACTGGCAATGTCTGGAGACATTGGTTGTTACAGAGCTTGTGGGGTAAAAGTTGCTACTGGCATCCAGTGGGTAGAGGCCAGGGATGCTGCTAAACATCCCCAAATGAACATGATAGCCCTTCCTTCCCCAACAAAGAATTTTCTGGTGGAGAATTTCAGTAGTACCTGGATTGAGAAACCTTGCTTTAGAGTGTCTCCTGGTCTGTACTAGAGGGGCTTAAGAGCACCAGCTTTGGAACCAAATGCTGGGGCCTGAATCCCAGCTTCACCACATGCTAATCTAACACCTTCAGCAGCCTCCCTGTACCTCACTTTCCCATTTGCAGCTGGAGATTGGCGATAATAATAGTCATCCTACCTCATAGGTTTATTGTTTGGATTAAATGATTTGATACATGTAAAAAGCTTAGAATAGTACCTTAGAAGGTGCTATGTAACAAAAAAAAACGGAAGGCGCTAGGTAGAAGCTCTTATTTCATCTTTCGTTGCCTTCTTACTGTCTTTTATTACATTTATTAGGTAAAATACTTTGTATTGATTTTGTACTGCTTGTAAGGATTCGATTGACTTGTTAACCACGGTAATTTCTGATGTCTAGCCTTTGTGTTTCATCACCATCATTACCCTATTTGTTTAATTCTTCTTTGGAACCAGGGTGCTAATCATGATATTTGGTTACAGTGTAGTGCTGGACTGGATTCAAATGAGATGTCCCTGCAGGAGAAAAAAGATCAGAACAGAAATTCTGTTGAGAACATAGCCAATGAGGCTGTGAACGTGCTGTGGAATATATGGTAAGATGCCTTCCAAACACAGCCTCCTGCTATAGCAGTACCCAGGCTGCTATTCTCTGTTATACTGTGTGGAAATCTCTGTTCCCCTTAGTAGGCCTGTTAATCTGGGATGTTAAGACTTGGTAGGAGCCGGACGTGGTGGCTCATGCCTGTAATCCCAGCACTTTGGGAGGCCGAGGCGGGTGGATCACTTGAGGTCAGGAGTTTGAGGCCAACACTGTGAAACCCCGTCTCTACCAAAACTATAAAAAAATTAGCCGAGTGTGGTGGCACATGCCCGTAATCCCAGCTACTCGGAAGACTGAGGCAGGAGAATCGCTTGAACCCTGGAGGCAGAGCTTGCAGTGAGCCAAGATCATGCCACTGCACTCCAGCCTGGGTGACAGAGCAAAACTCCATCTCAAAAAAAAAAAAAAAAAAGACTTGGTAGGAGGTAGGATCAGGTGACCTAAGATCGACCTTCCTCCCCAATCCCTTTCCTCATTGCATCACTGCATCTTTTGTTTACGGCTTTCCTTTCCAGTCATTGCACCTGACAAAAAATAGGAGGACTCATGACCACTAGCACCTGTGGCTCCTCCTTTCCCATGACTTCCTGCGCACCCTGAGAAAAATTTGTCTTTAAGCTGGTCAGGCCCAGATGCAGGTGCAGCTTTGGTTTGGCTCTAGACTAAGATGGGGACCACAGACCTTGGCTGGTGCTTTTCTTCCTCTCCCCTGGCGGTTACCGTCTGAGTGGGAAGTGGATGCCTAAGAAGAGCTCCCTTGGCCCCTGGAGGAAGAAGGCCACTCTCCATTCTGTGATTGTAGCAGTGGTGAGGGTGGAATGGACTTGCTACTAGGAATGGAAATGGCTAGAAACCCAACCTGGATTTACTTTTTTCTGCCCCATTTTATGTCCCACATTTCTAGCAAGACTCTGTCACAGTTTCTTTTCTTCAGTCAGCAGCAATTACAGTGGCTGACCTGAAAGCACAGATGTTTCTTAGAATACAAGATTAAGTTGGATCCTGAAATGCCTATGTAGCAATCTGACCTTGCCTGTGATTTCATTTTACTGAATGCATTCCACCAGAAATATTAGAGAGATCAGATCTGAGGAAATGGCATTTGAGCAAAAACTGATGGGTGCTGTTTTTCTGTGCACCAGATAACTTTGAGTCAGAAATCGTTGCATTTGGAAATTTTTTAAAAATTTCCTTGAAAAGAGTCTGAATATATCTCCAAGGTGATTTCTCTTTTCTGAATACCTGTGAGCCCTGTATGTATCACTGAGTTACTTTTAACATTCTTGTTTCATAATTCATATTTCAAATTATCTTTACACACATATGGCTTATCTTCCTGACTAGACAGTGGTCTCCTTCATGCTACCATAACTAGGTAGGTAGGTAGGTAGGTAGGTAGATAGAAGATATGAAATATTTTTCATCACATAACAGATTTAGTTTAATAATTTAGTCAGCTCTGTTAGCTGTTAGCATGTCACGTGTGTATGTTGTATGTATGGAGGAAACATACAACATGGATATTTCCTCTGGAAACATGGATACAATTATTATAATTAGCCTTGTTTACTCTTATTTAATGTGTTTGCTTATTCATAACACTGATAGCTGTCTGAGTCTTTTATTAAAAGGTAGTATAATTTTAAAAATACTTACTGTAATTTCTCTATTGTAGACTGCAAATTCTGCTTGATGAAATTATGATTGCACTCTAAAAGGCTTGAATAAAATATAATTTTATTTTCCTTTAAATTTGTGTTTTTGTTAATGTTCTAAAATATAGTAGGTTAAAAAAATATAAATTTGTGTTTTTGTGTGATAAATATAAAGGCCTTTTATCCTCCTTTAACTTGTTATCATTGTGGTATAGAGGGAAGAAAAAACAGTAGGCTGGACACAGGGAACCTAGGTACTGGGCCTGGCTTTACTGCTGACAAAATATTTGCTCTCTGATGGGCCACATTACCGCTTGGGTCCTGGGTCTTTGCATTTATAAAATGGGGAGTTGAATTAAACGATTTACAAGATCTCTTCCAGCTTTAACCTTCTATAAGGAAACTGGCATCATAGCAAAGAGATTGATGAAAAGGTCCCACTGTGATAGGGATAAAATATAGATAGCCAGTTCTCATGTATAGTGAATATGAATGGGTGTTAGTTCCTTCATCGATAAAAATGGTGGGTGTTTGATTCCAACTCCTTGGTTTATAAAGCCTGATTTGTTTTTTTATGGATTGCTATGGTTGATTTCCTACTGTTAAAATGTGAATAGTAAAACTTTTTTTTCCCCCCTTCAATTTAGTGAATGCAGTAGTAGAGCAGTGTCTATATTCAACAAAGAAGGGTGTTTGGAGATTGTGTTAAAGTATTTAAGTAGGTTTCCTACCAATGTTGACCTGGCTATTTCAGTAGGTAAGTGAAGAAAAGGTGATGACTTATTAAGAATGTGTAGCCTTGTTCAAAAATTTTCATGCAGCTTTAGTGTGTTTATTCCACTGGAGTGATTTTTTTTCTCATTGTATGTGAATGTGTAGCTCAGCACCTGTTTTTTCTGGGTCTTCTTAAATCTGTGATTAATATTCTTTACCTGCTCATTCAATTTTTCTGCTTTTGGCTCTGAAAGGGAGAAAGGTAATTATGTGAAGATATGTGGTTTCTGGCCTGTTTTCATTCTTAGCAGCCTTTATTAATTCTTAAAGTTTTCATCTCCATTTACTAAGAAACAGTAACCCACAACTACCAGGTCTTTAAGCCAGTTAATTGGAATCTAAACTTACTTAAATGTGTTATGCTACTATCTCATACTTCTGGCAGAAAACTGACGGCCTGAGTTTTGTTGAGAGAGAAAGAGAAAAAGAAGTAATTGAAATTCCACTTAGGCCTGCGTGCCTTCCGTGAGACAGGGAAGGCAAAGTCCAGCAACTTCAGTGTCCTTGGCTGCCTTGCCTTCTCTTTATTGGATTGAGGAGCCTCTGGGGACCTTCAGCTCAATGGCAGCAGGCAGAAACCAGAGCATGGGCAGCTCAGCAGAATGCTGGGTGGGAGTGGAGAAACAATTGAGGGAGAGCATTTCTTTTCTCCCCATCATTACGGCAGGTGTCCAGCTGTCCCTTTGTGGAACTGCATTTCTTCTGGGGAGGAAGAAGTGTATTCCCCTGACTGCTATTTCTCTTGACTCTAATGGATATTTTTAAGAGAACAGAATTGGGGGAAAATAGTAGAATAAATACTACTGAGAAAATTTTAAAAATCATTTCTCCAAATGGAATCTTGGTGGGTTTGGGGAGCTGTGAGTAAATGGGGATTTTAAAAACAATTCAGCCATTTTTAGGAATTTGATAGGTGACTTAATCTCAGAGGACAGTTTTTGTTACAATAAGAGAATTTCAGGAAAGTTAGTTCATATGTTTTAAAAGAAAAACCACTTCTATTTTTCTGCCTTTAGTCTTACAGATTTATTTCTGTTTTTAGCTTTTCTTCCCCTTAATGAGCATTTTTGAAATGGATTAGAATAAAGTCATTTTGCATTGCATAATAGTGTTTTCCTTCTGCATGTAGCTAGATTAATGATTTTTAAAATACATTATTACTTTTACTTCTAAAGTCAAGCAATGCTTACATATAGTAAAATGAACTACAAGATTCCGTCCCATGTATTCATATAACTTTTTTTGAACTTGTATGGTAGCAATCATGGCTGTTAGCTAAAGTAAATTAGTTTCTTAATGACAAAGATACTACATTTGAATATATGTACAGAAATGCATATATATGGATTTCTATGTAAATATATTGTCGATCACAGCAGTAACATGCATTTTAAGTAATTTTGATGGGCGTGATTTAATATTTTACAGGTCTTAATTTGCTCATACTTTTATATAAACTACTTTTTTTCTTAAAGAATTATTGCTCCACCAGAAATAACCCTAACTTTGAAGGTCATGATAAATTTAAAGGAAGCCAGACATCCCAAAACCTAGGACTGTTTGCTACTGGTCCTTGATAAGTACATAAATTGAGGGTAAATTTTTTTTTTTTTTTTTTTTTTTTTTTCCTGTGATGGAGTCTCGCTCTGTCGCCCAGGCTGGAGCGCAGCAGTGCGATCTCGGCTCACTGCAAGCTCTGCCTCCCGGGTTCACGCCATTCTCCTGCCTCAGCCTCCCAAGTAGCTGGGACTACAGGCGCCCGCCACCATGCCTGGCTAATTTTTTGTATTTTCAGTAGAGACGGGGTTTCACTGTGTTAGCCAGGCTGGTCTCGATCTCCTGACTTTGTGATCCGCCTGCCTCGACCTCCCAAAGTGCTGGGATTACAGGCGTGAGCCATCATGCCTGGCCTTTTTTTTGAGACGGAGTCTCAGATCTGTCACCCAGGCTGGAGTGCAGTGACACAATCTTGACTTACTGCAACCTCCACCTCCAGGGTTCAAGCTATCCTCTTGCCTCAGCCTCCCAAGTAGCTGGGATTTCAGGCGTGCATCACCATGCCTAGCTAATTTTTGTATTTTTAGTAGAGATGGGGTTTTGCCATGTTAGCCAAGCTGGTCTGCAACTCCTGACCTCAGGTGATCCTCCTGCCTCGGCCTCCCAAAGTGCTAGGATTACGGGCATGAGCTACCACGCCCGGCCTGAGGATAAGCTTTTATAAACATTTATAGTAACGACATTGCCACATTTAAGAGTCTTTTTAGGCCGGGCATGGTGGCTCCCACCTGTAATCCCAACGCTTTGGGAGGCCAAGGCGGGCGGATCACGAGGTCAGGAGATTGAGACCATCCTGGCTAACAAGATGAAACCACATCTCTAGTAAAAATACAAAAAATTAGCTGGGCATGGTGGCAGGCATCTGTAGTCCCAGCTACTCAGGAGGCTGAGGCAGGAGAATGGTGTGAACCCAGGAGGCAGAGCTTTCAGCGAGCCGAGGTTGTGCCACTGCACTCCAGCCTAGGCGACAGAGCGAGACTCGGTCTCAAAAAAAAAAAAAAAAAAAGAGTCTTTGTAATTGTATTTTGTAAAAAAAAAGTGTAGATCTGGCTGAACGTGGTGGCTCATGCCTGTAATCTCAGCATTTTGAGGGGCCAAAATGGACACCACTTGAGACCAGGAGTTCCAGACCAGCCTGGCCTTGATGGTGAAATCGTCTCTACTAAAAATATAGAAATTAGCCAGGCATTGTGGCGCACACCTTTAATCCCAGTTACCTGAGAAGCTGAGGCACAGGAATTGTTTGAACCTGGGAGGCGGAGGTTGCAGTAAGCTGAGATGCGCCACTACACTCCAGCCTGGGTGACAGAGCAAGACTGTCTCAAAAAAAAAAAAAAAAAAGTATACATCTGTTCAGCATTAGAAATTTAAAAAGAAACGTCTTTTCCAGCACTGATAGGTTGGGAAGCCTCATTTGTGCATATCACCCTGAGATAAAGCATATATATTCTACAAAAGCTACATGTATCTAATGAAGTAACAATACAACGTTTTATTGATGAATTATGCTGGTATAAATTATCCAAAGCAGAATTCATTTGTTTCTAAATATTTATGTTTTGCCTTATAGCATATTGTTTGCAGACAGTGACTGAGGATAACCCAGAGCTGCTGAAGTCTTTCAGTGCTACAGCATTGAACGTGCTGGAATCAGCACTGCTTTCTCCTGTTAGTTCCATGGAATCCCTTCTATTGAAGACATTGGTAGCAGGTAAAATTTAGCCTTATGGCATAGTATATTGTTTTAGTAGCTTTTGATATGGATGTGTGGCGGCAAAATTTAGTCATTCATTTCAACACATCAGGCCTTCTGTGCTTTTATCTGTTCTGAAAATTTTAATATTTGAGAAGAGACCCTTACTTCAAGCAGTTGTCTATAGTTGTAAAGCCTTGTGGAATAGATTTGTTTTGAATTTAACAAACTACTGTTAACCTGATAAAGAGACACTGTTGTCAGGATCCCCACTTATTTATGAACCAGTGATTTCAGAAATTGACCACTTAGTTTTCCGTAAGTTTTTTTTTTTTTTTCCCACCAACTCTTTTCTCTCCAGAATCTCTGAATACAGAAGTAAGAAATTATCTGAAGGTCTGTTTAGTATGTACTTTATTTAGTTTCTGTATCTATTTTCTTCTTGCCCTTTGGCCTTACAGAGATAATTTATATTGAGAGGTTTTTATTTTTTGTTGTTGTTGTTTTAAATTTTTTATTGTTTTGAGATGGAGTCTGGCTCTCTCACCCAGGCTGGAGTGCAGTGGCTGGCTCTGCAACCTCACCTCCGAGTTTCAAGTGATTCTCATGCCTCAGCCTCCCGAGTAGCTGGGATTACAAGCATGCGCCACCATGCCCAGCTTATTTCTGTATTTTTGGTAGAGACAGGGTTTTACCACGTTGGCCAGGCTGGTCTTGAGATCGGGACCTCAGGTGATTTGCCCACCTTGACCTCTTAAAGTGCTGGGATTACAGGTATGAGCCACTGTGCCTGGCCTGTTTTTTTTATTTTAATAGTGGTAAATGCACATGAAATTTACCGTCTTAATCATTTTGGGTTTTCTTGAGACAGAGTCCTCCTCTGTTGCCCAGGCAGGAGTGCTGTGGTGCGATCTTGGCTCACTGCAGCCTCCACCTCCTGGGCTCAAGTGATCTTCCCATCTCAGCCTCCCAAGCAGCTGGGACTACAGGTGCATGCCACCAGGCCCATTTAATTTTTTTTTTTTTTTTTTTTTGAGGCGGAGTCTCGCTCTGTCGCCCAGGCTGGAGTGCAGTGGCGCGATCTCGGCTCACTGCAAGCTCCGCCTCCCGGGTTCCCGCCATTCTCCTGCCTCAGCCTCCCGAGTAGCTGGGACTACAGGCGCCGCCACCACGCCCGGCTAATTTTTTTTTGTATTTTTAGTGGAGACGGGGTTTCATTGTGTTAGCCAGGATGGTCTCGATCTCCTGACCTCGTGATCTGCCCGTCTCGGCCTCCCAAAGTGCTGGGATTACAGGCTTGAGCCACCGCGCCCGGCCTTTTTTTTTTTTTTTTTGAGACGATCTCTCACTCTGTCACCCAGGATGGAACGCGTTGGTGCAAGCTCAGCTTACTGCAGTCTCTGCCTCCTGAGTTCAAGCAATTCTCCTGCCTCAGCCTCCTGAGTAGCTGGGACTACAGGTGCCCGCCACCACGCCTGGCTAATTTTTTGTATTTTTTTAGTAGAGACGGGGTTTCACCTTGTTTGCCAGGATGGTCTCGATCTCCTGACCTCGTGATCCGCCCGCCTCGGCCTCCCAAAGTGCTGGGATCACAGGCGTGAGCCACCACGCCCGGCCTAATTTTTTTATTTTTTAATAGAGATGGGGTTTCACCATGTTGACCAGGCTGGTCTCAAACTCCTGACCTAAAGTGATTGGCCCGTCTCGACCTCCCTGTGCTGGGATTACAGGCATGAGCCACAGTGCCCAGCCACAGTTAATTCTTTGTATTTTTTTTTAGAGATGACATCTCACCATGTTGCCTACGCTGGTGTCAAACTCCTGAGCTCTTATAATAATGCCCACCTTGACCTCCCAAAGCGCTGGAATTACAGGCGTGAGCCACTGCACCTAGCCTTTAATTGTTTTTAAATGTATAATTTAGTGGTGTAAAATACATTCATATTGTTGTGCAATAAAAATCCGGAACTTTTTTTCATCTTGCAAACTGAAACTGTACCCTTTAGACACAATTTTTCCCATTTCCCCTTCCCCCAGCTGCTGTCAGCCACCATTCCTTGACTACTCTAGATACCTCATAGAAGTGGAATTATACAGAATTTGTCTTTCTGTGATTGGCTTATTTCTTTTTGCATAGTGGCCTCAAGGTTCATCCATGTTGTAGCATGTGTCAGAAATTCCTTCCTTTTTAATGCTGAATAATATTGCCTTGTAGGTATAATACCACATTTTGTTGATCTGTTCATCTGTTGATAGACACTTGGGTTACTTTTAACTTGGCTATTGTGAATACAGCTATTGTGAAAGTGGATGTAATTTTTTTTTTTTTCTTTTTTTTTTTTTTTGAGACGGAGTCTCGCTGTGTTAACCAGGCTGGAGTGCAGTGGCAAGATCTCGGCTCACTGCAACCTCTGCCTCCTGGGTTCAAGTGATTCTTGTGCCTCAGCCACCCAAGTAGCTGGGATTACAAGCGCCCACCACCATGCCTGGCTGATTTTTGTATTTTTAGTAGAGATGGAGTCTCACCATGTTGGCTAGACTTGTCTCGAACTCCTGACCTCAAATGATCCTCCCACCTTGTCCTCCCAAAGTATTGGGATTACAGGGTGAGCCACCGCACCTCGCAAAAATGGATGTAATCTGTTCAAGTCCCTGCTTTCAGTTCTTTTGGGTGGATAGCCAGGAGGTGTTTTTATTTTTGTAGTAACTTAAAAAAAAATTACTCTGACTACTTAATGATAGCTCCTGTTCTTTTTTGATAACCAAAAAACTAAGAACCTGCTCTCATGTTTGTATGTGAGACCGACATTGGAATTTTAGTACATTCCATTCCACTCATGGAATATAAGAAGCTGCTGAGGAGAGCAGCTTAGGTTACAACGAGAGAAAGTGAAGCCACTCACTTTGTCATTTTAAAAGAAACTTGATGAGTGTTCTCTGGGTCTGCTGATAACGCAGTGTATCAGAGAAAGGCATTGTGTGCCAAGAAAGGAAGATGATTGTGCAGGGTTATAACTAAGGGCACTGCCTCAGTGCAGAACTCATTGACATTTAATAAATAATGAACAAAGGCAGTGGGGCTGAGATTTTTTGAAATTACACTGGCCTTAAAAGTCTTGTGAAAATTTAAACTTAATAAAATATTTCACAGGCATTTCTTCTCCTTATGCTTATTTTTTCCCAGGCACAATTTGGAATCTAAAGGACATTATTCCATGCAAGAGTCAAGCAGAAATCATAAATGCCTTACTAAAGATCTTATCTGAAGTTTTGGGAATGGATGCTGGTGAAACAGTTATTCAAATGAAAGAGACTGAAACGCAAAGGTTAAAAACTGCTGCAGAGGCTGAGGAAATATTAGAGAACACTAATGGGGATGATTTGATTGAAGATGATGAAATGGAAGGAATTTCTCATAAGAGAAAAGTCAGAAGGAAAACTTTCGTTTCAGATTTACTTCCGGTAAGTCAGGTTGATGTTCTCAAATATGGATTAATACAGCTGTTTTTTTTTTCCAGCAGTTATCCTTGGCTTTGCAGAAAAATATTATAGCAAAGTTAGCTATAAAGGGCGTTTCGGCAAAAATGAGTCATATTTTCCTGTTGATTCTCTTTATGTCATTAAAAATCTCCTAAAGGGGGAAAAGTCTTTTATCTAACGTGATAGTTTTATACACAGGAGAAGATTTCAGAGATGGGATAAACCTATCCTTTTGGAACACTTTAGAAATAGATGATCATCTTTGTAACTCTTGCATCTCCACACTTGTGTTACATACTGTCTGCCAGACTGTCTTCAGACTAAAGGAATTTGTACTTTGCCTGAATTGTCCCTTGCATTCTTGCCTCTTATTTTAGTATTTAGCCTTATCAAGGTGGCAAACCAAATCTTCATTTATCCACTACTGATCTGCAGAGGTTGGGTAACTGTGAGATGAATGATGGTTTGTAGTTTTCTTGGAGTGGGTGATGGTGGCATAGTTGTGCTGGTGGTGTGATACTGCAGTAAAGGGGAGCAATCTGGGGTGCAGGAAGCATTTCAGCTGACAGTCTGCAGAGAGAGAGCCGTATTTGGGGAGAACACTTTGTTAAGGAGGAGAGCAAATAGGAAAACAGGGAACACAGTGACTGAGGCTTTATTCATTCAGGTTCACATTTACTGTGCTCCTAATGTATGCCAGGCACTGTGCTAGACACTGGTCATAAAAAGATGATTAAGATGTAATTTCCAGCCTTCAGGAACTTCCTCCGTGTTGGGAAGACAGACACATAAAACCATGGCTCTAAGGCCTGTGCCGAGAACAGTGCTGTGGCCCTGCATAGATTTCTAAGGGAATGGTATCTGTAGAGTAGGCCCTTGTGACTCAGCCTTTATGGGAGAGCTAAGGAAGAGGCTGCCAGAGAGAGCCTTTTGGACACAACATCTGGGGCGACATAAAGGAGGGGGTAAGAAAAAGCAGGTTAGTGTTTGGAGAGCGCACTCAGGCAGCTGGAGGAAGGAAGAGCACAAGGGGCCTGGCAGCAGGAGGACCAGTCAGGAGGCTGCCAAAGGACAACGAAGGCTGAGTTGGGAGGAGGCAATCATGTCCTCTCATGCTTACCTGTGTTCATGATGTCTCAGGAAGCATAAATTGATGGTGTTTCAAAGAAATCAAAATGTAGATAGAACCACTTTTCCCCTCATATGAGCAACCTGTGGGTGCAAAGCACTGTGTTAAGTGCTGGCACAAATAACAAAAATGGGAAGGCCACGCTGTCCTTGAGTTGCTCACAGATTTTTTTTTTTTTTTTTTTTTTTGGAGACAGAGTTTTGCTTTTGTTGCCCAAATTGCAGTGCAGTGGTGTGATTTCGGCTCACTGCAACCTCCGCCTCCCAGGTTCGTGCAATTCTCCTGCCTCGGCCTCTACAGGCATGTGCCACCACACCTGGCTAACTTGGCATTTTTAGTAGAGATGGGGTTTCCGCATGTTGGTCAGGCTGGTCTCAAACTCCCAACCTCAGGTGACCTGCCCGCCTCAGCCTCCCAAAGTGCTAGGATTACAGGTGTAAGCCACGTGCCCAGCCTAGATCTTTTTATTTTATCATTATTGGTTTATTTTGAGACGAGATCTTCCTATGCTGCCTGGTCTCAAGCGATCCTCCCACCTTGGCCTCCCAAAGTGCTGGGATCGTAGGCGTGCACCGTGGTACCCAACCTGTTTCATACCTGTTTGTGGAAAGAGGGGATGTGATAAATCAGGGCTTATGGGGTCATTTTCAGCTGTGGGCACCATGGTACTCAGGTTTCTGTTGATCCTATCTGATGCAGGTATACTGTGTTTGAAGGATCTGAAATCCCTTGCTGGGAATGAGAGAATGGCATTCTTGTGTGATTGTCCCCACCTCCAGCCTTGCTTCCAAGGACCTTCTCCAGGGAGTAAGGTTGGGGGTGAGACCCAAGTCTAACAAGGTTTAGATAGGCGTGCCACTGTTGAAAAACTATTGATACTTAACTGTTACGTAGAGATTTATTTTCTTATTACTTTTATTTTGGTGCTTATAAAAATGCAGTGTTTTTTTACAGTAAAAACTGGCTTTTTAAAGTCTTCTGGCCAGGTGTGGTGGCTGACGCCTGTAATCCTAGCACTTTGGGAGGCTGAGGTGGGCAAATTTCCTGAGTCCAGGAGTTCAAGACCAGCCTGACCAACATGGTAAAACCCCATCTCTACTAAAAACACAAAAATTAGGTGTGGTGACATGTGTCTGTAGTCCCAGCCACTCAACTTGGAAGGCTGAGGCCCAAGAATCACTTGAACCTGGGAGGTGGAGGTTGCAGTGAGTCAAGATCACGCCACTGCACTCCAGCCTGGCAACTGAGGGAGACTCTGTTTCAGAAAAACAAAACTAAATGAAAATAGAAATAAAGCCTTCCTTAAGATTGTAGTAATGGGCGGTGGTGGGGTGGTGGGATAGAGGAGAAAAAAAAAAAGAAAAGGAAAATAAAGTGTTCTTAACTGACTCGACTGGATGATTAACATGCTAGTTGGTCAGCCAGCCGGTGTTTAAGTGCCACTAGGGTGCCAGGAACACAAGTTATATTCAGCTGTGGTCTTCCACACTATCCAGTGTCTTCTGCAGCACTCCTTCAGAATCAAAACTGCGGCCGGGCGCGGTGGCTCAAGCCTGTAATCCCAGCACTTTGGGAGGCCGAGGAGGGTGGATCATGAGGTCAGGAGATCGAGACTATCCTGGCTAACATGGTGAAACCCCGTCTCTACTAAAAATACAAAAAACTAGCCGGGCGTGGTGGCGGGCGCCTGTAGTCCCAGCTACTTGGGAGGCTGAGGCGGGAGAATGGCGTGAACCCGAGAGGCGGAGCTTGCAGTGAGCCGAGATCACGCCACTGCACTCCAGCCTGGGAGACACAGCGAGACTCCGTCTCAAAAAAAAAAAAAAAAAAAAATCAAAACTGCATCATTTAACTTAAGAAGGTATAACCACAGAGATACAAAGGAAGAGCAGTTCAACCCGTTTTTTTGTGGGGGCACATGCAAAAGTAAAGTACTCTCTGCTTAGCTTCCACAGTTAGCAATTTTCAAATTCTCTTCTATTTGATTTCATCTAGTTCCCCTCACACTGTCTTTTCCCTACTGATTATTTTGAAGCAAATCTCAGATGTCATAACATTTCATCTAAATTGGTTCTTTATGTCAGCTCGATAGCAGTGAGAAGCAGAGAAAAGTTCTGAGCAAGAGAGTTACATAAAGAGGTGGAGTTTAATTTCAGAGTTCCTTTTAAGCCACATCTTTGGCTGGGCATGGTGGCTCACGCCTGTAATCCCAGCACTTGGGGAGGCCAGGGTTTGTGGATCACTTGAGGCCAGGAGTTCAAGACCTGCCTGGCCAATATGGTGAAACCCTGTCTCTACTAAAAATGCAAAAAATTAGCCGAGCATGGTGGTGCATACCTGTAGTCCCAGCTACTCGGGAGGTTGGGGCATGAGAATGGCTTGAACCCAGGAGGCGGAGATTGCAGTGAGCCAAGATCATGCCACTGCACTCCAGCCTGGGTGACAGAGCAAGACTCTGTCTCCAAAAAAAAAAAAAAAGAATAAAAAAGAATAAGCCAGATCTTCATATATTTTAAGTGGATGACAGCCCAGCAGCAACATGTCTTGTTTAGCTTTGAATCTTCTCTAATAAATGTATATTTAGTTGAATTAGCACACACACAAAGCAAATAGAAATTTTTTTTATAGGCCGGGCGCGGGGGCTCAAGCCTGTAATCCCAGCACTTTGGGAGGCCGAGACGGGCGGATCACGAGGCCAGGAGATCGAGAGACGATCCCGGCTAACACGGTGAAACCCCGTCTCTACTAAAAAATACAAAAAAACTAGCCGGGCGAGGTGGCGGGCGCCTGTAGTCCCAGCTACTCGGGAGGCTGAGGCAGGAGAACGGCGTAAACCCGGGAGGTGGAGCTTGCAGTGAGCTGAGATCCGGCCACTGCACTCCAGCCTGGGTGACAGAGCAAGACTCCGTCTCAAAAAAAAAAAGAAAAAAAAAAAATTATTTTTATATACATTCTTGCTACCAATAAGTAGAATTCAAATTTAGGGATCCCTGAGCTACATCTATTAAATTAGCAATTTGCTTTTCTTTCTTTTCTTTTTTTTTTTTACATAATATGATTAAAAGTTATAGTTAAATTGTTGCACAAAGAAGTCACTGGGGCTGGACATGGTGGTCACGCCTATAATCTCAACACTTTGGGAGGCTGAGGTGGGAGGATTACTTGAGGTCAGGATTTCAAGATCAGCCTGGGCAATATACTGAGACCCCATCTCTCAAAAAAAAGCAGGTAAATTTATTTATTTATTTATTTTTGAGACGGAGTGTCACTGTCGCCCAGGCTGGAGTGCAGTGGTGCAATCTCGGCTCACTGCAACCTCTGCCTCCTAGGTTCAAGGGATTATCCTGCCTGAGCCTCCCAAGTAGGTGAGATTACAGGCATGTGCCACCATGCCTGGCTAAGACCTTGTCTCTACAAAAAAGTAAAAAATTAGCCATCCATGGTGGCGTGCACCTGTAGTCCTAGCTACTCAGAGGCTGCAGCAAGAGGATTGCTTGAGCGCAGGAATTTGAGGTTGCAGTGAGCTATGAACGTGCCACTGCACTCCAGCCTAGGAAACAGAGTGAGACTCTGTCTCTCTCTGTCTCTAAGCAGGGGAAAAAAAAACAGTTGAAAACTAAAGTTGGGAAATATTCAAATAGTAAAATATACATTATTTTTAGCCCATGTACTGTTTTGGAATATCAGTGTGGTTATTTCACTTTTCATAGACAATTTGAGAATAAAGGTTATATAAATTTATATTACCCATTTTAAGAAATATTAGTTGATACGTTAAGTTTAAGTTGGCGTTACATATTTTCAGAGGAAAAAAAAAAAAGCTTCCTGCTTTCTTTAGTCTTAGAGAAATGCTTTATTATAGTCTTTAAAGAAAGGCAGGAAGCAAGTCCGTCTGCTCCATAGCAAGTTCTACAGGTCATATAAGGGCTCCTTAGTAGTGTTTGTTAACGCAGCCATTGCAAGAAAGACATCTAAGCTGAGCATCTAAAAGCAGGTTTGTTTGTAAGTGCCTGGTGTCTGAAATGAACTCTTGTTTAAATCTTAGTATGCCCAGCTACTTCTTGACATAGTAGATTAAGTTTCAGGGTGAATTCCGTTCAGAATTCCTGGATATTTGTCTGTTCTCTCCAGCTAACTAAGCGACGCTTGGGGAATAGCCATGCAGATGGATGGGAACCCAGTTAATGGGGGCATGCTCCACCGTACCAAGAGGAATTATAATGCTCGTTTGTACTTCTGGCACTTCATGACTTTTCTTTTACCTACCCCATTCTCCATGTGCTCTATTCCAAGTACAAAAATCTAGTAGGCTTTCACTAAGGAAATTCCCCAAAAACATTTTCCCAACCATTGAGAGTTGGTCATTTACTTTTTTTTTTTTTTTTTTTAAAGCCCACTGACAAGGAGCTGAGAGAGACTATAGCATTGCTGACAGCTCAACAGACTGCTCTGGAAATTATCGTCAACATGTGCTGCAATGAAGGTTTGTTAACAGTTTACATTTAGACATTTTCCCCCTGGGCCAAGAGGGAAACTCCCGTGGAGATTTTCTTAACTATTCCAGTTCTGCGTGGTTTGCCCGCTTCCCAGATCCCTCTGATGACGAATGGGAAGAACTTTCTAGCAGTGATGAAAGTGATGCATTTATGGAGAATTCCTTCAGTGAGTGCGGGGGACAGCTGTTCTCTCCCCTCTGCCTCTCCCATGAGGTTCACACTGCTCTCACCAACTACCTCATCCCAAAGAAGGTAATCCGTTTTCATTCTAGGCTTACCGTGGAGCGTGGGAAAGGCTTAAGCAAGGTATTCATTCTGTGTACAAAAGAAGCAAGCTCACACTTTCAGGTTGTAGATGGTGGTAAGATCTGAGACAAAGCTGAGCTAATAGTACTGGAAGTAGGTGAAAAGGTCATTCTATATGAAGCCTAACCATTTCACTTAGGAGTAATATTTTGGAATTATATAAGGGAATCATGTGTTAAATGACTACTCTTTAACTTTTGCTTTACTGCCTCTTTTAAATCTAGATTTTTGAGAAAACTGCCTTTCCAAACAGCATTGCAGTTGACCTATGTTCTAGGAACCCTACTTGGAAACCTTTGATTAGAAAGTAAGAACTTTTCTACTTTCAAGAACATTTGTCATTATTTTATTTTATGAAATGATGGGCCATTAAATAGAAGGTGCTGACTCCCCCTCAGACCCAGAAGTTTTGTTCCTGGGTATATATACCAGAAAAATACTGCCCATGTGCCCTAGAATACATGTTCATAGCAGTGTATGTCACAGTTGCCCCAACCCGTAAACAAATTTGTTGTCCATCAGAGTTAGAATGGTAAATATATTTTGGCAAAATCACTCAGTGCAATACATGCAGCAGTAAAAGGGATTTGAATTAGAACTACTCACAACTTGGATGGAGCTTACATTGTTGAACCAAAAAAGCAAGACATGAAAGAATACGCACACTGTGATTCAGTTTTTACAAAGTTGAGAAACAGGCAACATTGAACTATTTTGTTCAGGGATGCATACCTTGGTGATAAGCCTATTAAAAAAAAAAAAAAGGGCAAGGAAATGTTTACCGTAAAAGTCTGTGTGGTGGTTACCTGTAGGTGTCAGGGAGGTGGGATGTTATAAGGAAGAGAGACAGGCTTTCAGGGTCCGGCAGTGTTTCTTTCTTTCCCAGGTGCATGGGTGTTGGCTTCATAGACTATTTGTTAAGCTCTCTATATATGTTGTGTACTTAACCATATATTTGTCACATTTCACAATTAAAAATAATTTTAGGCTGGCGTGGTGGCTCACACCTATAATCCCAGGACACTGGGAGGCCGAGGTGGGAGGATCACTTGAGGCCAGGAGTTTGAAACCAGCCTGCGCAGCATAGCAAGACCCCATCTCTACAAAGAAAAAAAAAACATTACAAAAACTAGCCTGGCATAGTGGCACTCAGCTGTAGTCCTAGCTACTCAGGAGGCTGAAGTGTGAGGATTGCTTGAACTCAGCAGTCCAAGGCTTTCGTGAGCTATGATGGTGACACTGTACTCCAGCCTGGGAAACAGAATAAGAATTCTTCCTATCTGAAGAAAATTATAATTTTAAGGATGCTACCCTACATAGAAATTTTTCTAAAACAGATTCCTCATGACTCATTAATGAGTTGTATATCAGAGGGCGTGAATACTCAAGCAGTTTGATTTGGCGGATTAACGGTTACTTTACAATTCTAGCACTTATCCAGGCAGGAGGATTGTTTGAGGCCAAGAGTTCCAGACCAGCCTGGGCAACATAGCAAGACCCCTATCTACAAAAAATAAAAAACTCAGCCAGGTGTGGTTGCGTGCACATGTAATCCTGCTCCTTAGGAGGCTGAGGCAGGAGGATCACTTGTGCTCAGGAGGTTGAGGCTGCAGCGAGCTGTGATCACACCACTGCACTCCAGCCTGGGCAATAGAGCAAGACCCCGTCTGAAAAATGATAATACATTTTAGAAAACACAAAAAACAGTTCACCTTGTGATTCTTTGCTAACTGCCATAGATCGCCTTGTATTTATAGATATTTCCAGTCAGAACCTGAAGCTTAGACTAAAAGTTAATACTGAATTCTGATGGGCAACTTCTGGAGAAACAGACAGCATTGTTTCACTTCCTTTCCAGAATGAACACTATTCAGTGCAGAGCCCTCTTCTGTCTCCAGAGTCTTGTGTCCCTCCTGGATGTGGAGCACCTGGGAGGAGCCGCAGCCCTTCAGACACTTGCACAGCATCTGTCACAGCTGCTTTTTTCTCAACCAGGTAAATATTTAGGCTTTATTGTGAAAGACTACGCAGACAAAACAGAATTTTGAAGGGGCAGGAACTTGGATTTTGTAAATGTGTATTGTTTGTCATCCAATCTGCAGAAACCTTTCCCAGACACAGAAATCACATATTTATAGTTGCCCGGGGGTACAGAGTCAAAACGAGGTATGCAAGCAGCTCCTGGGCTTATAGTTTTCTTTTTTATTAAAATTGTTTGCATCTAGTTTTATCAGGCCAATCAAGGCTGAATCATAAACATCATAAAGGCCTCATTAAGGTATTTGGGTAATTCTTGACCAGGCACAGTGGCTCATGCCTGTAGTCCCAGCACTTTGGGAGGCTGAGGCGGGAGGATCACCTGAGGTCAGGAGTTGGAGACCAGCCTGGCCAACATGATGAAACCCCTCTACTAAAATACAAAAATTTAGCTGAGCGTAGTGGCAGATGCCTGTAATCCCAGCTACTCGGGAGGCTGAGGCGGGAGAATGGCTTGAACCCAGGAGGCGGGGATTGCAGTGATCTGAGGTCATGCCACTGCACTCCAGCCTGGGCAGCAAGAGCAAAACTCCATCTCCAAATAATAATAATTGAGTAATTTTCTATTATTTTCTTCCCAGTTATAAGCATTTAAATTTGATTCATATATGTATATAGTACAGAATTCAAAAGTTTATTAGAGGACAGAAACTGGAAGCCTCGCTCCTTTCTTCCACACCCAGTTCCTCTCTCAGAGTCAAGTTACAGTTACACCAGTTACTTGTGTATCCTTCCAGAGAGATTCTCCATATGTAAGAAAGCATGTGTATGTGGGCATGCATGCGTGTGTGTAAGGCAAATGGTAGAATACCATCCACACAATTCTACACCTTGCCATCATCTAATATATATATTTCTTCAAACACATTTGCATGGTAGGAGCTGAATCTCTAAGTTAACAGGTCTCTGATATGGATTAATTTCATATGCACACAAAGATCTATAGAGATACCGGAGTTAAATATTCTTTTAAATGACCTAGCTGTGAGTTTCACTTGGAGGAAGAAAAAAAAACTAGCTGTACAAAGTCCGATGCATATTCTTCTAACAGATTTTCATAGTTCCTCATAGTAAAATCTTACTTAACTTGACTACATTAAACTATAGGAGCTCAAACCAAACAAACAAAAACAATAGAGACTGAGAGAGAAGAACAAGTGGTGTGTTGTATACTAAAGGAAAACTCTCCACGTTACTCCACCCAGCATCCATTGCTGGAGTGAGGGTAGCCTGGGAGGTGGGATTCTGCCCCTCTCTCTCAGCTGCTGAGGTTCCAGGTGTCTCTCAGGACTTTTGGGGGGTAAATGTGAAGATATTTGCTTCCTACGCTGACAAATAAGATAATTCCATTGTGTTACATGCAGTGTATTCTTCATATATTTTATCCTCCTTTTTAGACACAACATTAAGTCCAAGAACTGAACTCTTAAAAGATCAGGCCAGGCGCGGTGGCTCACACCTGTAATCCCAGCACTTTGGGAGGCCAAGGCAGGTGGATCACCTGAGGTCGGGAGTTCGAGACCAGCCTGGCCAACATGGCAAAACCCTGTCTTTACTAAAAATACAAAAATTAGCTGGGCGTGGTGGCAGGCGCCTGTAATCCCAGCCACTCGGGAGGCTGAGGCAAGAGAATCACTTGAACCCTGGAGGCGGAGGTTGCGGTGAGCCAAGATCGCGCCATTGCACTCCAGCCTGGGCAACAACAGTGAAACTCCATTTCAAAAAAAAAAAAAAATCAAAAGAGAGTCACTTTTTACTAATACAAGTTTTTGTGTCAACATCCATTCAAATGTTGGTCCCCAGTTCTTTAGACATTTGTTTTACATTCCATCAAGTTCCTAAGAGGTGCTGTGTGTTTAATGGTACATGTTTTTCAAGTTCTAAATTAATCTTTAAAAATTAAGTAATTAAATGTTCAGAAACCCATAAATGGTTACTGAGCTGTCTCTGCCGCCCTTTCAACATTGATCAGTTAACAGGTGTAGCTTTCAAGTACTCCCTGACTGTGCATTCATTGGCTGGAATGATCCCATGAAAGCTGTGCCCAGCCATGCCCAGGACAGGATATAGTCAGGATATGGGCAGTGCTAGTCCCATTCCCATTCCAAGGCAGGACGGGACAAGCACTGGAGTACAAAGGCTCGTCAGTGTGAGCAGACCAGATGATGGCTGTAGCTTTGTATTTGTCTCACAACCTCCTTCTAAACCTGGAAGAGATCTGGATGATAAACGGGGAGGGAACTTTCCCCCACTTTTGCAAGCATTCTGGCTCCCATCAGCCCAGCAAGATGTCCTGTGGGGTGGGAGTGAGAGGGCTGCTGTTGCTCATGCCCACCCCCGCCAATTCCCCTGGGTAGAGGCAAGGGGCAGAGCCAGGCAGGGAGACCACAGCCAGAGTCCCAAGTGAGCAGGACCCCAAGTCTCTCACTGCTTCCAAGCCCTGCCTAAGCTCTAGGTAACCCTGGCAGCCCTGGTTCCACAAGCTGCCATCTCTCAGCTCTGGGCCATTTCTCAGTGAGAGTCTGGTCCAGGTACCCCAGGTCCCATCCCCAGGCAGCATGCAAAGTTTATTTCACTTGAAACAAACTCCCTGTGTGCCTGTGCTATAGTGAAAGCACTCAGATATGTTTCTCCTGGTTCTGATGGTTATTTGTGGTCACTGAGGCCAGCACATTTATTAACTGCAAAGATCACAGGAAAACCATCCCAAGCTGAGTCCTGGAGAAATAATGGAACGTTTCTGAATTGTGGGAAAATATAACTAAGCACTTCGATTTTAAATAAATTCCCATTTCATGTCTATTCTTGACATCATCTTTTTTTTTTTAAGGTTCAGGAATGTGACATGCTGCTAGGTTAAGAATGCTTTTGTGTATCCTGAGGGCCATGATGTTATTTATGTAGAAATCACCTACCACACATTACTGTCACAACAGTGATTTTGAAAATGTATTCACCTAACGACATGGGCTCAGTTACTTCCAGGGATTGGTAGTCTGAATTGGCCTTGCCTGTGTAATGGGTTTGGATGGTTACTGCTGGGGGAAGAGGGCCATTACAATACCTCTGGGCTATCCAGCTTGCTTGGGGCCCATACTCATATCCCATCTATGGCCTTCGTATCACCTGACACTGGCATTTGGAGAAATGGAGAATGAAAATGACTCGAAAAGTAGTATCATTGTTATTTATTTTGGAGTAACAGAATATTTTCTTATCAGAATGAATTTGATAAAGGATAATTGCTTATATTTGCAGGTGATTTTTTTTTTTCTCTCATTTGAGATAGAGTCTCACTCTGTTGCCCAGGCTGGAGTACAGTGGCGCAATTTTGGCTCACTTCTATTTCCGCCCCCCAAGTTCAAGCAATTCTCCTGCCTCAGTCTCCTGAGTAGCTGGGATTACAGGTACCAGCCACCGTGCCTGGCTAAATTTTTTTTTTTTTAATACTTTAAGTTCTAGGGTACATGTGCACAACGTGCAGGTTTGTTACATATGTATACATGTGCCATTTGGTGTGCTGCACCCATTAACTCATCATTTATATTAGGTGTATTTCCTAATGCTATCCCTCACCCCTCCCCCCACCCCATGACAGGCCCCAGTGTATGATGTTCCCCTTCCTGTGTCCAAATGTTCTCATTGTTCAATTCCTACTTATGAGTGAGAACATGCGGTGTTTGGTTTTTTGTCCTTGCGATAGTTTGCTGAGAACGATGGTTTCTAGCTTCATCCATGTCCCTACAAAGGACGTGAACTCATCCTTTTTTATGGCTGCATAGTATTCCATGGTGTATATGTGCCACAGTGGTTGAACTAGTTTACAGTCCCACCAACAGTGTAAAAGTGTTCCTATTTCTCCACATCCTCTCCAGCACCTGTTGTTTCCTGACTTTTTAATGATTGCCTTTCTAACTAGTGTGAGATGGCATCTCATTATGGTTTTGATTTGCATTTCTCTGATGGCCAGTGATGATGAGCATTTTTTCATGTGTCTGTTAGCTGCATAAATGTCTTCTTTTGAGAAGTGTCTGTTCATATCCTTTGCCCACTTTTTGGTGGGATCGTTTGTTTTTTTCTTGTAAATTTGTTTGAGTTCTTTGTAGATTCTGGATATTAGCCATTTGTCAGATGAGTAGATTGCAAAAATTTTCTCCCATTCTGTAGGTTGCCTGTTCACTCTGATGGTAGTTTCTTTTGCTGTGCAGAAGCTCTTTAGTTTAATTAGATCCCATTTGTCAACTTTGGCTTTTGTTGCCATTGCTTTTGGTGTTTTAGACGTGAAGTCCTTGCCCTTGCCTGTGTCCTGAATGGTATTGCCTAGGTTTTCTTCTAGGGTTTTTATGGTTTTAGGTCTAACATTTAAGTCTTTAATCCATCTTGAATTAATTTTTGTATAAGGTGTAAGGAAGGGATCCAGTTTCAGCTTTCTACATATGGTTAGCCAGTTTTCCCAGCACCATTTATTAAATAGGGAACCCTTTCCCCATTTCTTGTTTCTGAGGGCTCTGTTCTGTTCCATTGGTCTATCTCTCTGTTTTGGTGCCAGTACCATGCTGTTTTGGTTACTGTAGCTTTGTGCTATAGTTTGAAGTCAGGTAGCGTGATGCCTCCAGTTTTGTTCTTTTGGCTTAGGATTGTCTTGGCAATGCGGGCTCTTTTTTGGTTCCATATGAACTTTAAAGTAGTTTATTCCAATTCTTTGAAGAAAGTCACTGGTAGCTTGATGGGGATGGCATTGAATCTATAAATTACCTTGGGCATTATGGTCATTTTCACCATATTGATTCTTCCTATCCATGAGCATGGAATGTTCTTCCATTTGTTTGTGTCCTCTTTTATTTCGTTGAGCAGTGGTTTGTAGTTCTCCTTGAAGAGGTCCTTCACATCCCTTGTAATTTGGATTCCTAGGTATTTTATTGTCTTTGAAGCAATTGTGAATGGTAATTCACTCATGA